CCCCCCCCCGAAACATTTTAAGCCAAATTAGTCACAGTTTTTCTGTATTGGATCAGTATCAATGGATGCTAAACCTCAGGCATTGGCATTGGTATCAGAAATCAAATGCATCCCATTTGCAACACCTTTAATTTGCATATCTGAATATAAATTTTTTAAACATCAGATAGGCTAGATGTAAATATAGGATTCTTTCTGGAAGTGAACAAATTTAAAAAAAAAGATTTTCTGCACAGTGATCAGATTTTTACTTCTGTCCTGGACTTTTCCTGAATATGAGCATATTGAACATGTTACAATATTAATCATTATTTTGTTGTCTCTTTTTTTTTTTTCTTCAGGGCTGGTTTATGACTCTCAGATGCTAAAACACCAATGCACATGTGGAGACAACAGCAGTCACCCAGAGCATGCTGGGAGAATACAGAGCATCTGGTCACGATTGCAAGAAAGAGGCCTGAGAGGGCAGTGTGAGGTAAAACACACACACGCATACTCACAGTTAGCATGTAAGGGATGACTTTGCATGTTACTGTGTACAAATATCCATGTTCTATCACTTCCCCTTCCTTGTAGGATTTAATGTAAATCTACAGAGTTTTCAGAGAAGCCTTCATGTTTTGCTCTTGCAGAGTATCCGCGGCCGGAAGGCCAACCTGGAGGAGCTGCAGTCGGTCCACACGGAGCGCCACGTGTTGCTTTACGGCACAAACCCCCTCAACAGGCTGAAACTGGACAACCGTAAACTGGCTGGTTGGTCACACCCTGCGCCGATAGATCCAAACGTTTTATAAATGTGTTCTATATTCAGAGCCATCAAATCTACATTCAAGATAAAACATGCTAAAAATAGATTCAACTGTTTCTGTTTTACAGGAATTCTCTCGCAAAGGATGTTTGTCATGTTGCCATGCGGCGGAGTCGGGGTAAGAGGAAACACTCATCTTTTAGTGGAAGCTGCTTAATACGTCCAGCTTGTTGTTATGATGAAAGGTGATATTGTTTTAAAGAAAGATGACAGGAAAGACATCAAAGAGAGAAAGAAAGCAAGCGGATTGGTCCTCCTGACAGCCTGTGTCGAATCGTGACAGTTCAGACTAATGTCCATGCAGCATGTCCATGACCAGGGATGAAAAATATGCTTTGGATTTTTGCTGTCAGCCAGATGGACAGAAAAGGACAAAAACAAAAATAGAATTATGGAATGTGGAAAATATAAAATATAAAAAATTAAAGGTATGATTCAGATTTTTTTTTTGTTATTTTCTGTGAAGTTATGAGTAGCATTCACTTTGCCTGAAGATTAAGAAGTGGGAAAAAAAACCCTCATGTTTAGATTATTTTAGCAATTTAAAACAAAACGAAAATGTTAATTTCTACTACAGAAAGTAGTAGTGTAGTAGTAGTAGTAGTAGCTCAGTGTTGTTCAAAGTGCAGTCAATGGGCCATTTGCGGCTCCTGGATTGCTTTTGCGTGGCCCCCCAACTACAATTTGACAATCCTATAAATTCAGTGGTTGATGCATGTGGAAACATTGATTAATGACAAATTGAAATCCTTTTGTAACAGTAAACCTAGAAAGTACAAAACAAAGTATTTGTCTTTTTGTAACCGCACTTTGGTCTCATGTTTTTATTTGATAGTAAATATGTCTTTTTTTACTTGAAAGCAGTCTATAATGTAACCAAATGTTTTTTGTTTTTTTTTACCAAGTTCAAGTAATTTTCAAAAGGGTGACTAAATTTTTTTTTTTTAGGTGCAGAGAATAAACAAAAAGTGATTTTCCAGGCCAAAGAAAATAGAAAACAGCTAGCCTCCAAAATATCTATGTATTGGAGGCTTTTTTTTTAAGAAGGCAAACATACAAAACCTTATTTGTGTTTCATCTACAGTAATTGTAACACCTATTTCTCTAATTACTCTACTACATTTATGAGGTTTCCTGGTCGTAGAGGAGTGTGTGTCTAAATGTTGATGTGTTTGTTGTGATGGACAGGTGGACAATGACACCATCTGGAACGAGTCGCATACTTCCACGGCATCACGTATGGCAGCGGGCAGCGTCGTTGAGCTGTCATTCAGGGTGGCCAAAGGAGAGCTCAAGGTCAGACACCAAAGAGCAGCCGTACTAAACCGTTAGCTGAAGTCGGATAAAAATGTTTCCTTCAGTTACAATTAATGTTGAAAACTTGATGTACTTACAGTAAAGTACATCTACAACCCAGATTAGGGCATAGATAACCTGCCCTGCTATGTATTTTTTCTGTTTGTTGAACATAAAATAACTGTAGCAGAACAATAAGCAGGAGGAAGCAGCAGTTACAATTCAATCAGAATCACTGTCCTTCAATGTAAAATTAATCTTTTAATTTGGACGGATGATATGAAATTAACATTTTATTGCCTTTGGTCCTAGTTTTAATATGTATACTTTTATGGAACCAAAGTAGAGAAAATTATAGTTTAAACACAAAATTAACAATCATAGCGATTTATTTTTATCATCAGAAGTCACATTTCTTACCAGGATAATAGTTTTTCCCATTAAGGATAAAATAGATACCTGTTTTTAATTTGAACATATATTAATTTACTTCTTTGCAGGAATTAGGTTGCTTAGTGGAAGAACAAGTTTGTCATTGGTAGACAGAATCACGTGTTTTTGCCATGACTACCTAATTGTTCATAAAAGATTTGTTTTACTGTTAGTAGTAAATAATATTAAAGATGGAAAACTAAAACAAATCATTTAATATTAGAGTTGTTATGGCAGGTTAGAACGCAGCATGCTAACAGTAGCATCATAATTAATGAGACGCAGATTAACACGTCTTTATCTGCTGCACAGAACGGCTTTGCTGTGGTAAGACCTCCAGGACATCACGCCGACCCCTCCAACCCAATGTGAGTGTGTATATATGCTCTGTGTTTTATACAACCACACTAAATGTACTTTTTTCTCTCTCTTGTCGTTTATTCAGCACCACTCTTTCTTTTGTTGTTGTTCGTTTATGGGATTTTATTTTCTGAAAACCTTTTTGGAATACTCTTATGTGTTTTGAGACTATTTTCAAAGTATAACAACTTTTCCTTTGCAAATACTATAAAACCATTTCTTAGTAATAGAAGCTTGACAAAGCAATAGCAAAAAGGCAATAAACATTTAGGTAATATTTTGAGAAACGTGTCTGTGATCAGAATTTGTGTTCCGAATTTACATAAGTGAAATATAAGATATTACTAATTTTAACAGGACCTTATGACAACAGTCCATCTAATTTAGATGTACTATATTGCTTTGATAAAAAATATGGATATTAGATATTTCCATCTTTTTATGCATTTTATGGTTTATGTTTGGATTTAAAACCAACAAACCATCAATTTTTTCTTTAATTTTCAATCTTCCTTGATCTGATCCCATTTTATATTTCAATCAAGAAAAAGTCATATATTTAATGTCTTTAATTTTCCCAATAAAACTGATTCTGTACTATCTACTACTAACACATCAAACATGAATTAAAAAAATAATCAACAAGCAAAAGGAAATGGTAACACAAATTGGTTCATAATTGTAGAATTTTCTGTTCTAACTAAACTTGTTATTTTCATGTTTTTATTTATCTTTTAATTTTCTGTGTTTGTCTTTTAGGGGTTTCTGTTATTTTAACTCTGTTGCCATAGCTGCCAAGCAGCTCCAGCAGAAGCTCAGTGTCAGCAAGATCCTCATCGTCGACTGGGTGAGATGTCTACTTGTACTCTGTCAGCAAAACCTTTATAAAAATGTTTATCCTGTCTGTGTTTAATTTATTTAATTAGTGGATATTCTCTCTATAGGATGTTCACCATGGTAACGGCACCCAGGAGGTGTTCTACAGCGACCCCAGCGTTCTGTACATTTCACTTCATCGCTATGATGATGCAAACTTCTTCCCTGGCAGCGGTTCACCAACTGAGGTTGGGTGAAAATCGGTCGTACCTTTAGTGAAAAGCAAAGCGTCAGAGAAACACTGGGTCTGACTGTGTTTTCTGGGTTTTAGGTCGGTTCTGGAGCCGGTGAGGGCTTCAACGTGAACATAGCCTGGACCGGAGGCTTGGTCCAGCCTATGGGAGATGCTGAGTACCTTGCTGCGTTCAGGTACAAGCTCCTCCTCCTCCTCTAAACTGCAACTCACTGAAACAAGGGACTTTTATCTCAGTTAATTGGTTTGACCTTTTTATTGATTAGCAATAGAATAATCCACACAAGCCTTAATTAGAAAATGTCCCCTCGTTTCCTTCACACAAAGCCACAACAAACAGCCTGGCCGATCAGCGTCTCTGCTCCACATTGTCTCTGACGCACTTCTGGTGCAATTCAGAATCTTTGTCATTTGGAGCGCATGTGTTGGCTGCTCCCTGGTTTTTCCAGCAGCTTCAGATGTTTTACTGTAACTACTCCCCAGGTCTCGTTTTCGATAGACTGCGGATGTCTGACTTCCTGATGGTGGGTTGGGTAATTGTCATTGGTGGGTGTTTAGCACCAATAAAGATTCAGTCATGTGGTTGTTTTGGTCGTCTGCGATATTAAACCTTGAGGAAACGCGGGGAAACTGTGTGGTTATGGGAAAAAAGGCCGCAGCGGAGAGTTGACAGATGCACACGTGCATACTTGTTTTCACATAGAAACAAACCAAATCCACGTTTCTATGATTCTTCTAAGGAATGGATCACAATTCATAGAAAACAGTTGAATGTCTGCTGACGATCTGCTTGAAATGTGTCAATCCTTCAGATGTAATAGCTTTTATATTACTCTTAAAACTAGTTTTAAGAAAAAATTAACTGTATTCTGTTAAGACTTGACCCTGTGTAGTATGAACACATGTTCAGTCTGTGTTCATACTACAGGACCTCTGGCATTTCTGCTGACTGCACCAGTAGAAAGACAGAGATTTTCAGTGTGACGGCGTTCCCACTCTGGAATGTGTCTGAGACAAAGCAGATCATGTTTAATGGCAATAAACAATAAGTGTCCAGTTTATGTTATAGTTGTTATAGTACAGTGCATGTTATTGTTTACATCTAAAAATTATGCACACGGGCATAACGCCAGAGGGCAAAAAATCAATTTTTTAACTATCCGTAACTGCGCTTGTAACACTTACGATGTGTTTACAGTACTAGAACTCACAATAGGATAGGACCAGTGCTAGGTTCGGCTACGGGAGTAGGGACCACAGACCAGAAAATAAGTTTAAACTGCCGGCTTATTATTTTGTAGAAAAGAAAAGAAACAACAATTATACAAACAGTTGACATACAATGACACAAAATTCAATGCAAAATAGTTTCCCTGTTTCTTTCCAAATATTTTATATAATCCCTTTTTTGAAATTTAAACCTAATGTTAGGTATTACAGGATACTATTTATTTAAACCTAGGTTATAGTTTTGTTTAAGTTCAATTTGATACTGTTAATCTATTTAATGTACAGTTTGTTTTCAATCTTTTAAAATCTATTTTAGTTATTTAGTGTTCTTTTTAAGAAGTTAAGGTTTATTAATTTCTTGTTTTAACCATTTCTTATTTCTAATTTAAACCCAACAGACAATTTTACATTCCACACACTGTAACAACAGACATTGAATGTCGTTCGAGAAGAAAAAAACAATAAAACACAACAGAAACAATCCAGACCGAATAATTTGTTTATCAAATCGATGTCTTTTCTCTCTGATGATCCTGAAGGCGTAATCCCGTTTCTCTGAATCCATTGCTGTTTCAGCAGGAAAACATGGGCAGGTCATACCAGTTTGGATGATTTGCAATATCCAGCAGAGGGCGTAGCTCCTGCTAGACCAGGGGTGTCAAACTCAATTTCACCGAGGGCCACTTCAGCATA